ACCATGAGACTAACGTGACACAAACCATGAGACTGACGTGACACAAACCATGAGACTGACGTGACACAAACCATGAGACTAACGTGACAAAAACCAAGAGACTAACGTGACAAAAACCCTGAGACTAACGTGACAAAAACCATGAGACTAACGTGACACAAGTATTGAGACTAACGTGACACAAACCATGAGACTAACGTGACACAAGTATTGGGACTAACGTGACACAAACCATGAGACTGACGTGACACAAACCATGAGACTAACGTGACACAAACCATGAGACTAACGTGACACAAACCACGAGACTAACGTGACACAAGTATTGAGACTAACGTGACACAAACCATGAGACTGACGTGACACATACCATGATACTAACGTGACGCAAACCAAGAGACTAACGTGACACTACTAGAACACTAGATAACATCGCCTAACATACCACGCTATACAAGAATGTTGGCTGTGATTAATCAACTAATTAGTTATCAATAAACCAACAGAGACACACGCCTCCCAGAAAGAAAATGGGGGGGGGGAGAACTTTTGTTTCCTACCATGTCTTCCCCTCCCACCAGCCCTCACACTAAAGTGGCAATCAATTCTCCTGTAGGATGTCGTCTGGTAATCCAGTAAGCCACTGGGAGCAGACACAAATAGCAGACACAAATGGCAGACACAAATGGCAGACACAAATGGGAGACACAAATGGCAGACACAAATGGCAGACACAAATGGCAGACACAAATGGCAGACAGACACAGACGGCAGACACAAATGGCAGACACAAATGGCAGACACAAATGGCAGACACAAATGGCAGACACAAATGGCAGACAGACACAGACGGCAGACACAAATGGCAGACACAAATGGCAGACACAGATGGCAGACACAAATGGCAGACACAAATGGCAGACACAGATGGCAGACACAAATGGCAGACAGACACAGACGGCAGACAAAAGTGGGAGACACAAATAGCAGACACAAATGGCAGACACAAATGGCAGACACAAATGGGTTGGTGGGTTATCCGCTTCCCCTGGCGTATTGTTCTGCCTTTGATATAGTTATATAGTTGTGATATTGTTATCTGCCCTGAGATTGACAAATATGTGATCTGCCCGTGTAGTGTGAGTGCCGCCAGTTGCTTAGTGCAGCAAGGGACACAACTGCATGACCTCACTCTTCTCTCACCCCCCCCCCCTCTCCCCCTTGTTAATAATTGATAGTTTTCCATTCAATTTAACAATACCAATGTTGATTTAAGTTACAAGAAAAACAAATATTCCCCACCCCCCAACACCCCACTCCCACGTTAGTCTGCCGTGTGTGTGTGTTGTCGTGTGTGTGTGTGTGGTGCAATGTTCCCTCTAAGGGGAAAAAGCTACTGTGCACAGTTTATTATATGTGTGCGGTGTTCTTAAAGTCTTATACAAGGTCATATGTATTTCACAAAATGACTGCGCGGCTGCTCAAAAATACTGCGCGGCCGCGCAACCGCGCAGCTTAGAGTGGTACCGTGTGTGTGTGGTGCCGTGTGTGTGTGGTGCCGTGTGTGGTGCCGTCTGCTGAGACAGTTATGGCTGAGACGGTTATGGCTGAGACAGTTATGGCTGAGACAGTTATGGCTGAGACAGTTATGGCTGAGACGGTTATGGCTGAGACAGTTATGGCTGAGACAGTTATGACTGAGACAGTTATGGCTGAGACGGTTATGGCTGAGACAGTTATGGCTGAGACAGTTATGGCTGAGACGGTTATGGATGAGACAGTTATGGCTGAGACAGTTATGGCTGAGACAGTTATAGCTGAGACAGTTATGGCTGAGAGAGTCATGGCTGAGACAGTTATGGCTAAGACAGTAATGGCTGAGACGGTTATGGCTGAGACAGTTCTAGAACTTTTAGAGTCGCTGGGAGTTCTTTCAAGTGTCTTTAAGAGATGACTTTCTATTTATGTCTTAAATGTTATGGATGTCAGCTGTAGCAATGGATGACGTAACGATGACATGACCAAAAGCGAGATAATCTTTGATGCACTAATCCCTGATTAAATTTTGGGAGACCAGGTATTGACCTGATGTGTACAAGAGCGAGTTTGTTTGTTTGTACTTTTGGTGGCTAGGTCACACTGAACTTTAACAACTCAGCGCTAATTATCTATAGCGTTAATTAACTCGCATAAAGATTGTAAAATCCAAAAAAAAATTAAATCACCGAAAGGATTTAATGTTTGAAACATTTTTTAAGTTGAACGTAAATTCAATATTTTTTATTCTTTAAGTTTTCTTTTCTTGTTTTGTTTGTTGTGTTCTAGTTTCATGGTGCAGCCGTCGATACCAAATTTGTCGTCGTTATTCTCTAAATTTTAATAATTAGTTTCATTTTCCTTTCATTTTTTCAAGCAGCCATTTTCCCGTGTTCATCACGTGAGCTATCACGTGACCAGTAGCTGCCCGTGTAATGGTTAATTTATCACACACCCCCACTGACCATCTAGACATTCACACTGACCATCTAGACATTCACACTGACCATCTAGACATTCACACTGACCATCTAGACATTCACACTGACCATCTAGACATTACCACTGACCATCTAGACATTACCACTGACCATCTAGACATTCCTTTGACCATATTTCCTTTAACTGCTTGGACCCCCCCCTCTCCCCATCTACAAAACTGTCCCATGACCCAGAGTGAGCAGGGTTGGGGGGGGAGGGGCGAGTACGATTGCAGCCATCTTAGATCAACACAGCGACCGGACATTTCCTTTGTGGGGCCGGGTAAAGCCGGCAAATCTGGCCGGCACGAAATAGGAGACAATATTTTCCTTCCGGCAGGCGTCAAGAGTCAGAGACTGGTGCAGGAGTCAGGAGTCAGACAACTGAAGCAGACGAGTGAGTCGACCGATGCGACCACTGCACGTGCGACCAGAGGCGGGAAGTTAGCTCTGGGATATCTAGAACATCTTTTAAAACTTCTCTGTTATTCAAAGTTTTTGAAAACAGTTTTCTGTTGACTCCGTCTTTGTGAGTTAGTTGGCCGGGGGTAGGGTTAGGGTGTTGATGAAGGACGGTTGTAAATGTTGATACTTCATTCCAGTCTAGGTTATAAGCATCAGCAAAAGTCAAGATTTGGCGGGAAAACTGGGTCATCCATCAGACGTGAGTGTCACCACAGGCCAGACGACAGCCGAGCAGTTTGCCCAGGGCGATTGCTCCCCCCCCCACCCCTGGGTCTATTACTGCCACCACCCTGGCCCCCCCCCCCACCCCTGGGTCTATTACTGCCACCACCCTGGCCCCCCCCCCCACCCCTGGGTCTATTACTGCCACCTCCCTGGCAGGCGACAGGGCCGGGGACGATCTAGTCAAACAATGCCACGCCCACTAAACACTGCTCACCTCCGTTTCATCAAACACATTTGATGCCCGGCCCTGCCATAAACATCCCCCGAGGGGGGTGGGGCATTCATCATTCCCGGGGGCTCACGACTTCCGGTGACAGCTGTGAGGTATTAAAACACATACGTCATCACAACTTTGAAATACTTACGTCATAGAAACCTGATGGATTAAAACTTTGGGAGAGATTTAATCATTCCATCATCAGGGCACAGTGTGATGGATTAAAGCACATTAATGATTGAAGTAGCACACAGCTTGATGAATTAAAGCACATTCATGATTGAAGTAGCACACAGCTTGATGAATTAAAGCACGAAGGTACAAATGTGATGACGTAATGATTTGTAGACGTCAACTAGAAAGTTTAAGACAAAACAATTTAAAGTGTAGGCTACACTCTCACAAAGACCACCATTTAACCACAGACCACCATTTAGCCACAGACCACCATTTAGCCACAGACCACTATTTAGCCAGAGACCACCATTTAGCCAGAGACCACCATTTAGCCAGAGACCACCATTTAGCCACAGACCACCATTTAGCCAGAGACCACCATTTAGCCAGAGACCACCATTTAGCAACAAACCACCATTTAGCAACAAACCACCATTTAGCAACAAACCACCATTTAGCCACAGACCACCATTTAGCCAGAGACCACCATTTAGCCACAGACCACCATTTAGCCAGAGACCACCATTTAGCCACAGACCACCATTTAGCCAGAGACCACCATTTAGCAACAAACCACCATTTAGCAACAAACCACCATTTAGCAACAAACCACCATTTAGCCACAGACCACCATTTAGCCAGAGACCACCATTTAGCCACAGACCACCATTTAGCCAGAGACCACCATTTAGCCACAGACCACCATTTAGCCACAGACCACCATTTAGCAACAAACCACAATTTAGCAACAAACCACCATTTAGCCACAGACCACCATTTAGCCACAGACCACCATTTAGCCACAGAACTCCATTTAGCCTACTCCCTCTCACAGACCACCATTTAGCCCACCAAAATCAAGCCACGACGCATGCGCCCATCACATTGGGAACGGAATTGCCTCTTGGACCACGTGACTAACCCAATTCTGTGAGCTGGCCGCACCCAGGGGCACAACTCAGGAAACCAGGAACTTAAATGAGGTTTTTGTTTACCTCCCCTGTAGTTCAAACTTCTGGCCGACATATTGAATTAGGGACAAGACGACAGTCTCAAGTTTCTGGCCAGTTGGGCTCTACACATTTCTGGCCAGTTGGGTTCTACACATTTCTGGCCAGTTGGGTTCTACACATTTCTGGCCATTTGGGCTCTACACATTTCTGGCCATTTGGGCTCTACACATTTCTGGCCAGTTGGGCTCTACACATTTCTGGCCATTTGGGCTCTACACATTTCTGGCCATTTGGGCTCTACACATTTCTGGCCATTTGGGCTCTACACATTTCTGGCCATTTGGGCTCTACACATTTCTGGCCAGTTGGGCTCTACACATTTCTGGCCATTTGGGCTCTACACATTTCTGGCCATTTGGGCTCTACACATTTCTGGCCAGTTGGGTTTTACACATTTTTGGCCGGTTTACTTTTACGTATTTCGTGTGGAGAGTCTTGTCCTGGTGTGGAGAGTCTTTGGTGTGGAGAGTCTTGTGGAGAGTCTTGTCCTGGAGTGGAGAGTCTTGTGGAGAGTCTTGTCCTGGTGTGGAGGGTCTTGTGGAGAGTCTTGTCCTGGTGTGGAGAGTCTTGTGGAGAGTCTTGTCCTGGTGTGGAGAGTCTTGTGGAGAGTCTTGTCCTGGTGTGGAGAGTCTTGTGGAGAGTCTTGTCCTGGTGTGGAGAGTCTTGTGGAGAGTCTTGTGGAGAGTCTTGTCCTGGTGTGGAGGGTCTTGTGGAGAGTCTTGTGGAGAGTCTTGTGGAGAGTCTTGTCCTGGTGTGGAGAGTCTTGTGGAGAGTCTTGTGGAGAGTCTTGTGGAGAGTCTTGTCCTGGTGTGGAGGGTCTTGTGGAGAGTCTTGTGGAGAGTCTTGTGGAGAGTCTTGTGGAGAGTCTTGTCCTGGTGTGGAGAGTCTTGTGGAGAGTCTTGTGGAGAGTCTTGTGGAGAGTCTTGTCCTGGTGTGGAGGGTCTTGTGGAGAGTCTTGTCCTGGTGTGGAGAGCCTTGTCCTGGTGTGGAGAGCCTTGTCCTGGTGTGGAGAGTCTTGTGGAGAGTCTTGTCCTGGTGTGGAGAGTCTTGTCCTGGTGTGGAGAGTCTTGTGGAGAGTCTTGTCCTGGTGTGGAGAGCCTTGTCCTGGTGTGGAGAGTCTTGTCCTGGTGTGGAGGGTCTTGTGGAGAGTCTTGTCCTGGTGTGGAGAGCCTTGTCCTGGTGTGGAGAGTCTTGTGGAGAGTCTAGTCCTGGTGTGGAGAGTCTTGTGGAGAGTCTTGTCCTGCTGTGGAGAGTCTTATCCTATGCTCACTTTATAACAGTAGCCTTAATTTTAACAGCTAAAGGGAAATAACCGAAAAAACTAAAAACTAAAATGTATTTAACGATTACTTCCCTGTATAGCCATAATAGAACAACAATAAAGTGATGGAAATAAAATAGATATTTATTTTAGTATCGTTTTGACCCACACTGGCTAGCAGGACGAGCTAAAAATGTGCGCCTGCCCTCATTGATATATTGGTGGCAAAAACATGGTTGGTGGGGATGTTGTGGAGGTGTTGGTGGGTGTTGTGGGGATGTTGTGGGGATGTTGTGGAGGTGTTGTCCCGAGAGCTTACACTAGTCATATTTTATTTAAAAACTTGATCTTTAAAGTTTTGTAAACAAAAAAAAAACAACTATAAAGTGGGACTGTCAGAAATCGATCTCGGAGTTCCTGTACAGCTAATCAATGTTTGTTTTACGAAAGTGAAACATCAGGTTATAACTTAGGCTCGATGAAAATAAATAGAAATGTAGTCTTAAACTCAACAAATTATTTTCAAGTTCTCTGGATTTGCAACTTTTATAAAATTGATCCTACAAAATATTAAATTTGAGAATTATTTTTAGGCTTAAGTTTTTAATTTACATTCGCTCTGATTGCAAAATCTAAAAACAAAAACCTTTTTTTATCCAGGTGAACTTGTGACGGAAGGATTCTTGTTGGTGTCCCATAGCACAGCTTGGCGAGAAAATATGTCCATCAGTTGCATGTGTGTGCAAACTCGAGTGGGGGGGGGGGGCGCACATCGTACCAACACATGTAGGTAGAGACCCACACAAGTCGGTGAGGTTAGGGTGCACTAAGTAAAATTATCCAGTTCTCTGTTCCGTTCACATTCTCCTCGTTCTAACCGCAACCCCTCTCCCGGCTACACACCACCTTCCTCCCGCTCACAACAAACACGCTATCACTCGACCAGTCGCTTCCATTGTTACCCTCGTTCACTCCGTACAACTCACACGACCTGACACTGTCCAGAAACATAATAGTAAGGTATACACACACACACACTCGCACACACACACTCACACACACACCCTCACACTCATACTCACACTCACACACACAGACACACTCACACACTCACACACACACTCACTCGCACACACACTCACACACTCTCACACTCACACACACACAGCATTCCGTGCCACATACACACTTCCCACACACATCCCATGACCAGCTACCCTCCATCTTTCTTTACCTGATGCAACCTGCGGAATTAATGTGTACGAGCCGGCCCGCGGCGTATCATACGCCGCTTTTAGTCATTGTTTTTTCTACTTTTCAGTAATTCATAGTTTGTGAATTCGACAGTACCTACGCTGCCACTGAAAATATTTCTTTAAAACACTATAAGTATCTCGTTAAGGACGATAACCAACCCCCCCCCCCTCCGTTACAGTAAACTCCACTTAGTTACTCCCCCCCCCCCCTACGTTTAAAATCCTTTCAAACTAAATTATCTGCCCCTAATAGTCGTCACTAAACCCGGATCTGTTTGTACACATTTAGAGTGAACCACAGCTCAGACCATGTAGGGGTGGGGTGGTAGGGAGCGCGCTTACAGCTTGTTTTCTGGCGTCTCCCAGAAGAGAATTATATATATACGAGCCGGCCCGCGGCATAACATACGCCGCTATTTAGTAGTTTTATTTTCTACTTTTCAGTAATTCATAATTTGTGAATTCGACGGTACCAACGCTTCCTCTGAAAATATTTCTTTAAAACACTATAAGTAGCACGTTAAGGACCATAACCCTCCCCCCCCTCTACGTTTAAAATCGTTTCAAACTAAATTATCTGCCCCTAATAGTCGTCACTAAACCCGGCTCTGTTTGTAAACATTTAGAGTGGACACAGCTCACCAGACCATGTAGGGGTGGGGGTAATAGGGAGCGCGTTTACAGCTTGTTTTCTAGCGTCTCCCAGAAGACAATTATATATATATATATATATATAGATAGATAGATATATAGATGTGAAGCTCAAGAAACCAATTCAACAAATTTATTTACGTTACTTTATCATAGCAAATAATGTGCAAATATAGCATCTGTGAGGCAGAGTTGCATGATCTTTACAAAGACTGAAGGATCTATTATGTGATCTTTACAATGAAAATGAAGGATCTATTCTGTGATCTATACAATGAAAATGAAGGATCTAGTATGTGATCTTTACAATGACTGAAGGATCTATTATGTGATCTTTACAATGAAAATGAAGGATCTATTGTGTGATCTTAACAAAGACTGTAGGATCTATTATGTGATCTTTACAATGAAAATGAAGGATCTATTCTGTGATCTATACAATGAAAATGAAGGATCTAGTATGTGATCTTTACAATGACTGAAGGATCTATTATGTGATCTTTACCGTGAAAATGAAGGATCTAGTATGTGATCTTTACCGTGAAAATGAAGGATCTATTGTGTGATCTTTACAGTGAAAATGAAGGATCTATTATGTGATCTTTACAATGACAATGAAGGATGTGTTGTAGAGCAGCCCTAGTCGTCTCTTGTAGGCTCCCCCCTCTCCATCTCCCCCCCCCTCCCCAACCGGGACTGTATTGACGTCAGTTTAGGTTCTATGTTTACTAATTATTCAATCTGTAGAGGTAAAGGGCATCAGCCAGCCCACTGTTATCTAGCTGCAGCTAAACAATCTCCCCACTGCCCGCTAGCTGCAGCTAAACAATCTCCACACTGCTCTCTACATCATCCATCAAGCTCCGCATCAATTCTGCCCAGAATTGCTCCGTGTCTTTAAAGAACAAGATCCTGTGCCTGACCTGTCTGAAGTACGTGTGGAGCCCCCAGCTACGGGGCTCCCTGCTGAGGGGGGTGACCAGCACGGGCACCAGCAGACGCCGCCCCGTCTGCCGCTCGTGCTCCATGGCGAGCCGCAGCTCCAGGTACCTGTGATAGTCCTCGAATATGTCGCGAGTCAGCAGGACGACGGTTTTCCGCGTGCCCACGATGGCCCCTGCGATGCTGGAGCTGAGGTCTCCACCATCGAAGTTGACCTCCGCCAGGATGTAGGTCACACCCTTCTGGTCAAGCCTCTGGCGAAACATGCGCACTACGTCACGGTACTCGGGCTCCTGGTCAAAATGTAGCAGAAATTAAAATCATTGCAATGTATTTTATTTACACTACTACTAAAAGATTTTAGTAAAATCTATACTAGCTGTTTTCACCCGTTGAGTAAAAACTACAACGGGCACTCAGCCGTTTATATTTCGCTTTTTCTCTACCCTTCAGTTAGAATCGGACATCGATTATCGATAAACAATCTTTAAAAATGTACACATTTCTGTGTTTGTTTTTACAGTTGTAAAAGTATCTAGTGTGTACTTTATTTATTATCTTGTTTAAAAAAATATTTTTTTTATTTTCAGACTTAGTTTTCGTTGTGTTTTTTTTTTATCGGCGTAAGGTGCTCATTTACCCACATCTTCATGTTAGATTCATGCACCAACCTAAACATGAAAAACTTAAGCGGGACAAAAACTATGAAATTCACTGGTGTAACTCTCTAATTAAAAAATTTAGTTTGATCGGAAAAATCTAAACGTAAATCTTAATTCTAAACATAAACCTAAATTCTAAACATAAACCTAAAGTCTAAATGTAAACTTAAAATCTAAATGTAAACTTAAAATCTAAATATAAACTTAAAATCTAAACATAAACCTAAAATCTAAACATGAACCTAAAATCTGAACATAAACCTAAAATCTAAATGTAAACTTAAAATCTAAACGCGAGCACTGGAGCTCACTACCGACGACTGCGTGAGTCACGTTCCCGTCCTAGAAATTTGCCATGAAAAATTCCCAACTAAACCAACTGAAATCCTTTATTTATGACAAGCCACCCCCCCCCCCCCCCCACCCCCTAAGAACACGTGTAGAAATTAAGTCTGCTCCAGACTGTAAAGAGAAACCTCGCGATCACATTGGTGGGAACATGTACTACGTACACATGCATGGGCAGCTATCGCGGGTACCGTCTAGCGGAAATGAACTTACCTGTTCGTAAGTAAGGTAAACGTCCTTGAGATATTGGTGTGGAATGAGCCCAGAGTGGAGCGTTCTGATGTGGATGTGGTACCGATAGAGCAGCTTGTACTGGTGGTAGTAAATGGTGGCCGCCATGCTGGTCCCGCCCACCAGCAGCACGCAGGCCACCAGGACCACAAAAAATGTGGTCTGGCCCACACAGGACCTCTCCAGCTGCGCTAGAAGCGCTGGCATCGTGCTGTAGGCGGCGCTCCTGCCGTTGGGCGTGACACACGTCAGAGACTCCGCCCCATCGATGACGTCAGGCTCGGCCTGCAGGAACCTGAGGAAGTCCACGTACTGGCAGGAACACTGCAGAGGGTTGCCAGATAAATTGACTTTAAAGTCCGGGTTCTTCAGCTTGAGGTCGTGCAGGAGGACCACATTGGCAGCAGAGAGTCCACTCAAAGCGTTGTCCGACAGGTCGAGGTAGGCCATGCCCAAAACACGCGTCAAATCTAAATTTAGCTTCGATAAATGGTTGCCTGACAAGTACAGATACTTGAGCCGTATGTTTTCCAGAAAAATCTTGTCCGGCAGAGACTTGATGCCATTGTGGCTGAGGTCCAGCTCTTCCAGTCGTGTTAGAGTTGAGAAGATGGCGTCATTTTGATCTGAAGAAAAAACATTTTCTAAAAAGTTTTTGTTTAGTTTGAGAGTTCTGAGAGCGGTGAGGTTCGCGAAGAATCCTGGACTGACGCGGTAGCAGGCGTTCTGCGAGAGGTCGAAGTACTCCAGGCTGGTGGCGCCAAGGATCGGACCGTCCCAGCACTTGAGGGAATTCTGGGACACGTCGAAGTACTTGAAGACGTCGTTGTTAAAGATTCTAAAGGCTGGAATACAGTAGCCTAGGTTTAGGTGTGAGCCACGGAGGTGGAGGAGACTTTTGGGTAGAGGCACAAGGGATACTTCAGACTTGACATTACTGGGTGTCATTGGCATTTGGCGGCCATAACTTGACATTTGCCTACTCGAGGCTCCGGGGCCACCAGATGAAACTGGGCCCTTAGGTGACGTCATTAAGATTCTCGTCAAAATACTGGCTTCCATTGTTGAATTGTCGGTGCAGTTGTGGTTGTTGCTATTGTCGTTGGTGCTGTTGTCGTTGGTGGTGTTGTCGTTGGTGCTGTTGTCGTTGGTGCTGTTGTCGTTGGTGCTGTTGTCGTTGGTGCTGTTGTTGTTGTTAGTGCTAATGTGGTTGTTGCTGTTATGGTTGTTGCTGTTGTGATTGCTGTTCGAATAGTTACGGCTGGTATAGACGATTTGTTGACTGATATCCAAATCTTGTAGGTTGTACAGTACGAGGGTGGTCGGCAGGAAGTGGGCATCGATTAAATAATTATCCCTGAATGAGATATATTTCAGCGTACGGGGTAGGTCGATGATGGCCCGTGGGTGCAGGTACACCAGATAGTTGGATTCTACCTTCAGAACCTCCAGCTTTGTGTTCCTCAGGAACCGGAACACGGTCTCAGTTCCCTTGACGACATACGCCTGTCTGGCCACGATGGCGCTGATGTCCAGGTAGGTGAGGCTCGAGTCAGCCAGACCTTCTGAGCCCACTTCAAAGCCTTCCAGGCCCAGCCCTCTGTTGTACTGAAGGTCCAGAGTCACGAGGGTGGTCAGAGGTTTGAACGTCCAGCGGGGTAGCGCCAGTAGTTCACAGTTGGACATGTTGACGATGAGGGGTCGGCTGGTGTTGATGCTGGTGAAGTACGACTCCGGCATGTCCTGGTACATCCCGCAGGAGGTGAATACTTCCTTTTCTTGATACACGCTGAAATTCAGCGTGGCGAGCTGTGTTAGGTTTCCAAAGCCGGCTCCTAGGGGTGCTGGGACACCTTCAATGAAAAGTTCCTTTAGTGATTCCAGCTTAGCCAAGGCCATGTCTGGGTAGCTGCCCGTGGTGAGTTTGTTGTGGTTTGCATGCACGTGTAAGACCTCCAGGCGAACTAACCCCGTGAAGGCGTCAACAGGAAACCCGCCGTCTTTGTAAGACAGGAAATTGTTGTTCAAGTAAAGACGTGTCAAACACGGGAGTCCTGAGAAGGAAAAGTTCTGCAGACGTGCAATGCTGTTGAAGGAAAGATTCAAATGCAACAAAGCCGGCATCCCCTCGAACAGAGACGGGGGGAGGGACGATATGGCGTTCATGGACAAATCAAGGTGGGTCAGGTGGGTCAAGTTGTCAAAGACCTGACCCTCCAGGGACGACAGGCTGCAGTGGACGAGCTCTAGACGGGTCAACTTGACCTGGTGGCTGAAGGTGCACGGGTCGACACGGCCAAGGTCGTTGTGTGATAGGGTCAAGGTCTCCAGTCGCGTCAGCTGTTGCAGGTCAGCGCAGGTCACGCGCAGCAGGTTGTAGTCAAGGTGAAGGTCAGTGACGTCCACTGGGATGTAAGGGACCTGGGTCAATGACCGACCCCCGCAGTCCACACTCAGACCCCCGGGCACTGGGGTACACGAGCAATTGCTTGAGCACAGGGAGGATTCGTTCCTGGTGCCTAGAGCTCCGGGGGGAGATGGGAGGGCGGGTGGGGTAGCTTTTGACGATCTGACATAGCAACAGGTCACGTGACCTCTGACAACCAACAAAACAAAGAGCAAATGTCCCCACATGATCAGACCTGGAAGTAGAACAAGACATGGCGTAAGCAATAGTTTAGTTGATGTTTGAGTTGAGTTAGGAGACGTTGGTACAGAAATTTTAAAGGTTTAGTTGATGTTTGAGTTGAGTTAGGATACGTTTGTACAGAAATTATAAAGGTTTAGTTGATGTTTAGGCTGAGTTAGGAGACGTTGGTACAGAAATTTTAAAGAATTCTATATCTGGTTATAGCACACTACACTAAGCAAGCTATCTAAACACTACACCACTGTGCTAAGATGACTACACACTACACCACTCTGCTAAAATGACTACACACTACACCACTGTGCTAAGATGACTACACACTACACCACTGTGCTAAGATGACTACACACTACACCACTGTGCTAAGATGACTACACACTACACCACTGTGCTAAAATGACTACACACTACACCACTAAGATGACTACACACTAAACCATTGTGCTAAGATGACTACACACTACACCACTGTGCTAAAATGACTACACACTACACCACTAAGATGACTACACACTACACCACTGTGCTAAGATGACTACACACTACACCACTGTGCTAAGATGACTACACACTACACCAATGTGCTAAAATGACTACACACTACACCATTGCATTGTGCTAAGATGACTACACACTACACCACTGTGCTAAGATGACTACACACTACACCACTGTGCTAAGAGGACTACACACTACACCACTGTGCTAAAATGACTACACACTACACCACTGTGCTAAAATGACTACACACTACACCACTGTGCTAAGATGACTACACACTACACTACTGTGCTAAGATGACTACACACTACACCACTGTGCTAAAATGACTACACACTACACCACTGTGCTAAGATGACTACACACTACACCACTGTGCTAAGATGACTACACACTACACCACTGTGCTAAGATGACTACACACTACACCACTGTGCTAAGATGACTACACACTACAACACTGTGCTAAGATGACTACACACTACACCATTGTGCTAAAATGACTACACACTACACCACTAAAATGACTACACACTACACCACTGTGCTAAGATGACTACACACTACACCATTGTGCTAAGATGACTACACACTACACCATTGTGCTAAGATGACTACACACTACACCAATGTGCTAAAATGACTACACACTACACCATTGCATTGTGCTAAGATGACTACACACTACACCACTGTGCTAAAATGACTACACACTACACCACTGTGCTAAGATGACTACACACTACACCATTGTGCTAAGATGACTACACACTACACCACTGTGCTAAGATGACTACACACTACAACACTGTGCTAAAATGTTACACACTACACCACTGTGTTGACTTGATTACTCTAAAAACGTTAAATAGTTGCATAACCGTACAATACCTGGCACCATGGAGTGCTAACATTACTTCACTGACGAGTTACTTAAAGAGGCAAGACCTAGTCATTATGGTTAGTCGACTGTAACAAGGCTACGTATGTAGTCTGATAAGTAGCTGGGGAATTCTCGGTTACTATATATATATATATATATATATATATATATATATATATATATATATATATATATATATATATATCAGGAGGCGTGTAACAGAAAGAGCTAGCTATTATAAACACAATTCCACAAGAGCATGGGGTTCTTTGAACCAAACTTGACTTTGAAAACTTAATGATCATTTATCAAAGCGGTATTACATAAAAGACGAAGTTGTAAATTTATGTGTTACAAACGTATACTAATTAAAATAAATTATCAATCAACGTCTTAAGAAGATCAGCCCAGCCCTGTATTACAATATCATTGGAGAATCAGAACTAAAAAATTGTGTAAGCTTAAACGTATTAACTTTAGCACAATTTTTATCTTCTCTGATGAAAATAAATTATCACAAAACTGTCTATAACAAAGTGACACACAACATATTTTTTGAGAAATTGTTTTTTTATGCGAGTTGACAACTTTTAAAAGACCAACATACTTGACCCCATACTTATTCGTTTATAACCATAACTCTAAACCTAAACTTATCCGTAACCCGAACCCGAACTCGAACCGAACCCGAACCTGAACCTGAACCTGAACCTGAACCCTAACCCTAACCCTTACCCTAACCCTAACCCTAACCCTAACCCTAACCCTAACCCTCTCCTTTTCACTTACCCTAACCTTAACTCTACCCCTACCATTACCTTTACTCTAACCTCCAACATAATATAATGATTTTAATAAAATCTACTACACTTTTCACAGTTTTACATCTTCCACTGTGTCGTAGACGTAATAGAAAGAATGTACTGTAATTGTTCAAAAGTCTAAATCGAGATTTTGATAAGTTTTGACTTTTTTAGCCGGATTTTTTTTTTCAATCCTGTTCGTCTGCCTGTCAGTGTGGATGTGAAAACGATAACGTAAGTACCGTTTTAGTTAGGTGGACGTTTATTCATATCTAAAAAAAAATGCTTCACCCCTTCGTTAGACGGCATTTCCTCCTATACAATAAAGTATACGGGTCGTTGCTTTTATTTTTTTTATTTTTTGGCTTTGCTTCCATAGCTATTGTCCAACCAAGGACCAACTACAAGGCAGCAGTTGTTGGATTTTGGAGTTGTCTATCTAGAAAGGTCGCTGCCGTTTAGCATCATTTAATTCGATGTACTGTCTCAGATCTTCGCTCTCCGTATTGCTATTTACAATTTTTCAAAAACCTTCAGAATTTAATATCAGATTCTCATAAAGTATATTCTCAGAACCTATCACATAGTTTTTTAAAAAAAGGATCAATTTTCCCCCAAGCTTGTGTATTTCTAAAGCCTACAGGTTGTACGGAGATACACCCCCCCACCCCCCCAACATCGACTGGTACATACGTCAATGCTATCCAAATTATAAAGTTTAAAAACTTGAAATCTGATGTTTAAAACTTCTCAATGAAAAATGATTTTACAATGACACCGGTTTGAAGGTCCAACTATTGTTACATGAAAAACTGCAGGAGTTGATATAATATTGATAAACGATTTTTTGGTCGATATTCTTACCACCTGCCCCCACCAGGTGAACGGGAAAAAAAGTCGCAGGAAAAATTTTATCGGAAAAAGTCACAGAAATTAAGTCATAGAAAAAAAGTCACAAAAATATTTTAAGAAATATTTTTTTATTTAATTGTTGTGTATTGTTACATTTTGAGTGTTTATTTATGTGGGTGGTGTTTTTTTTTTTGGTAGCATATTTGCAAACTTTAAAGCATTATGGTTTAAAACAATAATACATAAAAATACTGTAAGATAATGTATAGAGCAACCTCAAATTTTTTACGTATTAAGCTAAATACACTGTAGTAAAGAAAATGTTAAAGACATTTAGGAAATCATTGTGTTTTGCATTTGTTTTTTTCCGCAGGCCATTCATTAATCGGCTTTTCCTTTGTCGGCCATATTGTGTGTTGTTGACCTTTTGCGTCAATGACAGTCTTTGTACCCTGTCGGCCTTCTGTTTTGATCAAATGCTTTGTTATGTGCTAAATGTGGGCAGAAAAGGTGGTTGAACTATTGTTGCGATAAGTTGAGTGCAGCAAGTCAGATTATTTACGTGTTATGCCGTCTCACGCTAATTTAAAGTTAGTGTGTAAAAAAAAAAAAAACAAGATGAAAACCAAGGTTAGAACGTTCTATCAAATTCTATTAAATTAGCTATCGTTACCCGTTACACGGGTTAATCGGGTGACTTTTAGCTCTCTTCTCTGTACAAATAGGCGACCTGTTATTCTTTTAGAGATTTATCTCCAGGGAGCGACATTTCAAACTGTCTGGGGGAGGGTGTAGGGGATGTGTGTGCGTGGGGGGGGGTGAGGTGTTGGGGGTAGCGGATGCTGTTTTTTTTTTAAATATATTTTTTTATGAATTACTTTTTTTAAATTTCGTTCGGAGATGAAAGGGGAAGAAACGGTAGAGATGCCTAAAGAAAATATATATCTACGGAACGTGAGTAATTTAATGAATTGTTGTTCAGCTTTTAAAAAAGTCATAATTGGAAACTTAGGAAAAGAAACACTTGACATCAAGAGCAATGGAATGAAACATTGTTAAGATTGTGAAAAATAACGGGTTTTATCTTATGTACTGTCTATATTTATACTTGTTTAAAATAAAGTTGACTACCAATACCTATTAGAAAAATTGAAACCAAATTATATACAGTATTAGTCAACACAATACCATATTAAATGTAATAGCTGATTAAGAGGCTTAAAATTAAGAGACTTCATCAAAATGGTATTTATGCTGTTTTTCTCTTTTAAAAACACCTATTTCGGCTGAGCATGGGTCTGATCACATTATCCCTTCATATGCTGAAAAGAAAGAAACAGGTGAACTCTACTTCACCTGCTTCGTGTCCCGTCAAGTCCCGATAGACAACTTTATCATTCAAATATAAAAAAATATCAATAAATTAATATCCTTGGTGCGTCTCGAACCCTTATCAACCACATGAAATCAATTACACTATCATCTCAGCTATTTAGGCACCTTAAGATTTACGAAGAATAAAAGAGGTATTTAAAAACTTAACTTACGCGAATAGGCCCTATTCTTTCAAATTAAATTTTATTCCAAATTAGCCAATTCCATAGCTAAACAAAGATTTCAATTAAATAATTAAGGCCTGGAATAGTTTACAATAGAAATTTATTATTCGAATAGATTCTAGATTTAGATAGAGTCTAGCAGGATCTAGATCTATCTCTAGATCTAGATTCTAAGTCCTATGTCTAGTTTTTCCGTAATTCTAGATCTAGAATCTCTAGATCTAGAATCCAAATAGATAAAGTAAATTTTATAAGTTTAGGCCAAGAAAATTGTATTGTATACATTTCATAGCGTACGTGGATCTAAAATCGAATTTGAATAAAATAGTTCCTTTCTTTATATTCTAATATCGGAATATGACTTTTTTTTTTTTCAAAAAAAAAAAAAAAAAAAAAAAAAAATTGGAATATGACGCCATTAGTTTTTTTTATATTTTTTTTAATATAACTTCTTTTATTTGCTGGTTTTCTCGCTACAAAAACACAGTCCAAACAGAATGATTGACCAAATACATTGCGATTGAAATACTATTGTCAAAGCATCAAACCACATCCTGAAGAAAGGAAATATCATCAATTCTAGTGGCTGACTTCAGAGTCTGACTTTCCGTATTGTTTTTCCCATCTTTCTATAAACTCTTTTTTTTCTAATGTCACGCAATGCAAAATATTCTGGATATTGAGCCTTTTCGTGCGACGACCAAAAATCTAGTAGCCAATCAGGAGCAGGATATGTTCTTTGATAAGCAACACCACCTGGTGATAAAGGAAATTTGATTGGTTGAGGATGTGACTTCAGAAACAACTCTTTCTGCCCATCTAAAAGCAGTTTCTTTGCCTTTCGCAAATCTATTTCTTCTTTATGCTCATCAAACCTGGCACGCATTAAAACTGCCTGGTACCGAAATTCAAACCTGTCATATCCTTCGTAGTGTGCCTGAAGAAGACGTACAGCTTGCTTATATAGACTTCTAACTTTCCTGGCGTGTGAAGTAGCTGACGTTTGTAAATACGCCATTAGTTTTGTGTTCTTTCCTAAGTGTAAACATTTGTCACGTCCTAGCTTATTGCGTTCTTGTCACAACTATAAACACTTATCCGGTTGCATATTTAAAACTGGTTTTCTACACTCGAATATGCCTTTAATTTTTATTGTTCTTGTTTAAATACAATTTAGTTTATACATTTAAAACATTTAACATATTAATTTGAACAAAAGTCCGTATCAAGTTCTCCATATATCGCTGAAGATACTGATATCATAGCCTGTGAAAATATTTTACGGACGGAGAGATATATAGATAGATAGAGAGAGAGAGAGAGAGAAAGAGAGAGAGAGAGAGAGAAAGAAAGAATTGCGCACATAAGCTTTTATATATTAGAATATAACATATAGGCTTATAACGGAATTAAAACCAACGTACTTCATACCAAATATTTTTTAATAAATATTACCATACGTATACAACCTAGACACATTATATTTAATTAATCGTAAGTTGATTTACACTTTATGAATATTTAATACATAAAAGTATTAACACATTTCATACAAATATACATTTGTCACTTTTTTCCTGTTATTTTTTTTTTCCTGTGTTTTCTTTCTGTGTTTTTTTTTCTCGTGTTTTTCGTTCCTGAGACTTTTTTTTCCTACAACCCCCCCCCCCCCGGTGAACGGAAAAAAAGTCACAGTTTTTGCTAGGAAAAAAAGTCACAGAAAAAAAGTCACAGTGGAAAAATTTTATCGGAAAAAAAGTCAGAAATAAAGTCACAGAAAAAAAGTCACAAAAATCTTTTTAGAAATATTTTTATTAATTTGTTAAGAATTGTAAATTTTGTATGTTTATTGTTG